CTCGGTCTCTTTTTCTCTCCTCCCTCTTCCCCTTTTCCTCATTCCCCCTCGCCTTGATTCTCCAGATGACCCACGATGCCCTGAATGCCCCCTTGCCCATCCTCCGGGCCATGTACGAGCTGCAGATGAAGAGGACGGATTCCTTCTTCCTGGAGGTTCAGAGGAGGTCAGGAAGCCGGGGAGGACAGTGGGGACACAAATGTCAGGGTGTCCCGCAGCCCCTCTGGGGCAGGCACCGTGGGGTTGCTAAGATGGTCCCTGCCCGTGCGGAGCTTACATTACATGGAGGGGGAGCCCCGCAGACCCGCATGACCAGTGGGGGAGGGGACGTGGGTCCCGAGGCTGGCTTGGTCACTGAGCCCTAATGGAGCCCCTCCCCTTGCCTGTGAAGGTCAGTGAGCCGGCCCAGGACTGGAGCCCCTTGGGGCGCGGGAGGCTGCGTCCTGCTTTGGTTCTCCTTCCTCTCATCTACACCAGGCCCCTGGGGGGGAAATGGTTGATGGGGAGGAGGAGCCTGGGGCCGTAGAAGTGCTCTGGGGGTGGACCAGACCATCGCGGGCCGGGATATTGAGGCACCTCCAGGACTACCATCCCAGCATTGACCGAGACTTTAGAGATAGAACCCCCACTTCTCATGAGGATGAAGAAACTGAGGCAGCCGTGATATTGCTCGCCTGGGGCGGGTCACCCTGCTGGGAAGTGCCCGAGTTTGGATTGGAACTCTGATCTTCACGGCCCCGGGCCCTGCATGCTTTGCTGCCCGGTGCCCTCTGCCCACAAGTGTGCGCTCTCTTTCCTGAAGGTTTGATGGGGGTGTGATCACCACCGACGAGCAGATCCGGAGCCTCGCCCAGAAGTGGCAGCCCCGGAAGCGCCTGCGGCTGGAGGAGCTGAGCTCGCGGGCTGTGGATACGGACGTGACGGTCCCGCCGTGCTGGGTAGGTTGCCTGGCCCCTCCGGGCTCCGCTCGAGGTGTGGGCCCCGGAGAGGCGGGCGGGGCCGGGTCTTGACCGAGGGCTCTTTATCGGCAGTCAAAGCCTGCGGCCTGTGACCGAGCAGCCGAAGAGTCCGACCCCGTGACCCAGAAGCTGATCACCAGCACCGAGAGCGACCTGCGGCTCAGCTACACCAAGCAGCGGCGGGCCAAGAGCGCCGGGCTCCTGCACAAGGAGCTGGGCTCTCGGGCCAAGGGCGCCTCCCGCGCCTACCTGCACCGTGTGAACGAGGCCACGGCCGTGCTCTACGCCAGGCACGTGCTGGCCTCCCTCCTCGCCCAGTGGCCAGAGTCCGTGCCCATCACCGCCGACGTCCTGGAGCTCGGCAGCCCAGCCCAGATGGCCTACATCCTGGACATGCTCATGCAGCTGGAGGAGACGCAGCTGTGGGAGGAGGGGAGGAGCGCGCGGGGTGAGAGCCGCGACCCCTCGCCAACGCGTTTCTCGCAGATTCTGCACAAGGTGCTCCGCGGCTGTGGCGAGGACATGCTGGGCCCCGTGGCGCTCACGGCCTGCCACTTCATGGAGGAGCCAGGGACAGCCGTGCAAGTGCGCGAATCCAAGCACCCGTACAAGAACAACACCGCCTTTGAGGTGCGTACGGGCCGCAGGCAAGGCCGTGGGCCTGGGGTGGGGAGGAGACTGGCCTGTCCCTTGGGTGTGCCGGCTGCTCCCGCCTCAGGATCCAGAGCGATTTATCGCCGGCAGACGTCGATTAAGCTCCTGCCAGGTGCCTGCCGCTGTGCAGAGCTGTGAGGACGCCAGTGAAAGGAGAAAGGCCCCGCCCTCGAGCAGTCTGGCGGGGGAGCCGGCGGGGAGCAGGGCTCAGGCCGAGCAGTCGGGGCTCAGGCCGTCTGCTGTGGTCCCCTCTCAGGACAGAGTTCACATCCCCGGCGCCGTCTACCTCTCGGTGAGGTTTGACCCGCAATGCAGCACCGAGGAGGGCTGCGACGAGCTCGCCGTGGCCAGCAGCAGCGACTTCCAGCAGGACCGACACAATTTCAGCGGCTCTTCCCAGAAATGGATCGATTTTGAGCTTCCAGGTAGTTGGCGCACGCTTGTTTGCGAGGGGCCCCCAGGGGAGGGTGATGGAGGCGCTCCCGTTAGGCGCCCGGTCCACCCCCGCACCCCCAGCCCAAGCACCCGCAGACGGCGAGGAACACGCCCGGCTCGGGCTCCGGGCAGCATGAGGGTTGCCGTAGACGTTGAGAGTACCCCGTGGTCGTGCCGCTCGGGACCTCCCCGAGCTCGCACGGGGCCCTCTTCTCCCTTGCCCGCCCCAAGTCTCGTGCGCCTGAGCTGCAGCAGCGTGTGGGGCTCTCCGTGCGTGCCCTCTGTGAGAGGTCCTGTGGAAGGTATTACTTCTGTCCTCCAGATGCCCAAAATGACTCGTTTGGTCCCGTAGCTAGCTAGTAAGTGCCCCCGTTAGGATTGGAAGCCAGGACGCCCCAGTCACCGCCTCCTCGGGGCGGCAGTGGGTTCGGTCCGTTGGCCGAGGGGTTCGAGGAAGGAGGTCGTAGGGCTCCCCGCGGTTCCCGCGAGCTCAGGTGCCAGGGCTGACAGGCGAGACTGGACCTTGGAGGTCTCCCCGCAGAGGTGGGCGGCCCCCCGGAGGTCGGCAGGCCTCACCTCTGCTTTTGGCTCTCGGCTCACCGCAGGAGACACGCTGTACTACAGGTTCACGTCCGACATGAGCAACACGGAGTGGGGCTACAAGTTCACCGTGACCGCCGGCCACCTGGGCAGATTTCAGACAGGTAGGGCTGCCGCGTGGAGGGCGTGGTGCCGTCTTCCCAGAGCAGGCGCCTGCCGAGGCGTCCGTGTGCCCAGCGCCGTGCAGCGCGCACCCGCCCAGAGCTGCCCTGACGCCTCTTCTCAGGCATACAGCCCCCGGCCACCCGCGTCCTCTTACTGCTTGGGATTCTTTTTCATTTTTTTTTCAATTATGGCCCTTTACGGAAAGGCATCACTGGACGAACTGTCCCATGCCTGGCCAGGTGTGTCCAGTCCTTGAGAGCCGTGCAGAGCGGTCCCGGGGGCGAGGCCCGACTTCAGCCTCTTCTGCCTCTCGCACCACCTGGCCGTGTGTCCGGGGGCCATGCCCTCTTCTCCTTGGGTGCAGGGCGCTGTAGCCTCAGGCGCCAAGGGGGCCAAGCGTGGTCTTGGTCATTCACAGGAGCGTTTTTGGTGGACCGTACTTTGCCATTACATTAGTAACTGATCTGTGTTGCCGCCTCCAGGCGCCAAATCTCTGTTGTTTCTGGTTTTTCACCATTAAAAATGATGCAGTCCTATGAGGGAATGGGGAGAAGAGGACAGGATGGGGGCCAAAAATGTGGTTGTCAGATGGACAGAAATTGGCCACTGGTTGGATAGGAGGGTGACGGGAGAGACGAGACGGCAGGGCCTGCAACGAATGAGCAAACGAGGCAGCTGGGGACGTAAGCCTGGAGTGGGGCAGGAGCTGTTTTGGGGACACTGTTTTTCCTTCCTCCTCTCCCTTCCTTCCGTCTCTCTCTCTCTCTCCCCCCCTCCCTCCCTCTCTCTCTCTCCCTCC